CACACTATTAATATTTTTTCCTATGTAACATAATCTTTATGTTTATATCTTTCTGTAGAGTGCCTATTAGAGACAAAGAAGTCAAAATAAATATATTTGACATGGCTGGACATCCAATATTTTATGAGGTAAATAAATGTCTGTATATTATTATTATTTTCTAAAATCCATAACATTTTTGAATATTCTTAATTCATGCCAACTTGAACATACTAATTGTTTTCCAGATATATATAATTTATATAAGTCATGGTCAGATTTAAAATAAATATTATTAAATATTTTGTGAAAAGGTGACCCAGGTGTTCAACGATTTATACACAGTCTGCATTCTGATAACATCTTCAAACACTAATCACTTGCATGGCAAAGTCGATTTTTGTCACATTTTACAAACTAATTTAAATCAAATTGTTTTTTTGTTTTTTTTGTTTTTTTTACTGCACTACATCAATCTGACAAGCAATATATATTTTATTGCTGTAGGTGCGAAATGAATTTTACCGAGATACACAGGGTGCAATATTAGTCTATGATGTCAACAGTAGAGAGAGTTTTGAAGCATTGGATCTATGGTTATCTGAAATGAAACAAGATATTGGTGATATCACTGAACTAGACAAGGTTGTCTTCTGTGTTTGTGCGAATAAAGTAAGTAGCAGTACATGTGGTGTTATCCAGTAACGCTCAGATTACTTAGTTACCATGGTGACCAGTCATGTACTGATAACAGTAATCCTCAGTAGGCTTGTGTGGTCCTGTGATTTCTTCTCACCAATTACTCACAAATAACACTTGTCATGACTAGTTCTGTTCTGTTTCTTATTTGTCACAGTTTCACAAGAATGGTCAGTATAGCGCATATGCTTAATATGTAAATTACAAAGGTGTTGCTATGGTGAAAAAAATTTAGGTTGAAGTCTGTAATGTTTTTGTTGTTTTGCTTTTTCAGTCATGTGATTTCGTTGTTATTTTAAGATTTTTAGGGCATTTGTTTCTCGGGAGTGTTTGAACCTATCAATTTGATATTTTTCATGTATAGCCAAAGCTTCTTTTAAAAAAAATATAATAATGTTGATCAGTCACATGATTTGTCCACCATCTTGAATTTTTAAAAAAAATGCAATTTTAGCATTGTATATTCTTTAACCGATCAATTTGCCATTTTGCATGTTGCATGTATGAACAAAGCATCTTCTTATGAAAATAACATATATGTCAGTATGTAGTTTATATTCAGCTTTTAAACTTAGACCAGAGAAAGCTGCTTAGCATCTTTAATGTTTTTATGATTACAATAAATATATTTTGGGGTTTATTTGGGGTTATTTTGGAAATGCTCTTTTAAGAGCAACTACGAAATATACATTATACGGTGACAGATGTATAATAATATGTAATATTCATGACATATATTTATGTTAATTACATGCAAATACCTGGAAAATTTATTTTGCTGGAACACTGTCTACTTAGTGTTGGCAGATGCAGAGTATGAATATCCTCATATGTTTAATTATTTGGTATCACAAGGATTATTACTTAAAGGACTTATTAATTCAGCCTCCGTCCGGCTGCCCATTCATCCCCTCAGTGTGACAGCACCGTAAAATTTATAAAAACATTTGTCAAGTTCAGACATGACGCTTTCCTTCTGAATGTTATACTAGTAACACAAGACTAGTGAATGAAAATGTTATGTATTCATCTGAATTCTGGTTTTAAAAAGGAGACAATTTAGAACAACAGCAATTTCCATGTGACTGTTAACTTACTAGTATTCCACATGTTTGTGAAGTGGCTTCAGTTAGAAGCCCGATGTACACAATTCATGGCGATTTTCAATAGACTTCACAGCTTCAATTAACCATTTAGCATGAAGTGGTTTTAATTTCGAAAGACGAAGATCAGCTCCCGTCTGCAGTTCCTTCAAAATAACGTCAGTGTACCACGATTGAAAGTTAGATTTCAGTGAGTCCTTGAATCGTTTAACGGCAAGATCGGTACAACAGGCCGGAACAAACACAGTGGTGATGTTGTCGTCGTGTATTTTTTAAAAAAAAATCTTTACATCGATGTGCTCTGAATACATCAAATATTGCAACGGTTTTTTTTCTTTAGGTAACTCTCCAGCTTCTGCCGTGTCGATGTCGAATACCGATGCATTGTTTTCCATATTTTTTTACTTGGCAAAATTGTTGTTGCGCTGGATGTGAACTGCAGTACTAATAGCGAAAGTCCTAAGACATGTGTTTGCTAGTGGAGGTGTAACACTCGTTTTTTAATGTGAGAATTAGTAACTGACATTGAATAATAAATGCTCTTTGTTCTTATTTGTTAAAATTTATTGACAAACATGTATAAAATAAAAGGTCAAAGTTGAATACTAGTAATTTGTCTGCAAGGAGAATGCAAATAATGAAATGCTCAAATTAGACGAAATTTGCTTTCACACGAAAATTTTATTGCGCAAAAATTTCCCGTCCTACAGTAATCAGATCAAAGTCGGCCGACAAGCTGCTATTTCTATTTTTGGCCATACTACTATATCTCTGTATTTCTGTATCCCTGCAACCTTGTCAGTGGTACAGTGGTTAGCATGTTCTACGTGCATCAGCAAGGTTCCGGGTTTGAACCGCCGGAGCCGAATGTTAACTCGGCAATATAAATTATGGTCTGCCCTGTCTTTCAAACACACAGTATTACTGGGTGTAGTACAATGTATTAGGTTTAGGAGATCGGTTCACATGCATGCATGCACTTGCATGACAAAAAGTCAGGAGAGACGGCAGTGACTTTAATGTACGGACACACAAATATTTGATAAAAAAATAGCTCTCTGTACCATAACTTGATAGTTTCATCATTGATGTTTTCTCTGAATTATAGATTGATAGACGAACCAACAGAGTTATAGATGAAACAGAAGGTAGACTCTGGGCTGATAGTAAAGGCTTCCATTATTTTGAGACATCAGCACAGAGTGGAGAAGGCGTCAGTGAAATGTTTCAGGTAATCATTAACAAATAATTAAGAAAGATGCACTTTTCATGTAAGATCAAAATATAGGCCCATTTTAATGACAATTTTAGAGTAAAAATAAAAAAAATTGGAAAAATAAATTTATCAGAATTTTTTTCTTTTTTTTTTCTGGGCTTTGCCCTCAAATTAAATTGAGGGATGTGGATTGCATTATAAATGAACATATGTTTATAATGACGATCATTGAACAGCTTCCAGCATCAATGTGTTCTAATGCTTTACACAGATAAATTCTGGATCATTTTTTTAACTCCGCTGTCGACAAAGTTGACACTGCAGAGCTGTTCATATTTCTGATTGTCCGTCGTCGTTATCAACTTTACAATTTCAACTTCTTCAAAACTGCAAGTCAGAATGTTTTCAAATTTGATATGCAAGTATCTTGGATGGTTCTTTCTCAGATTTGTTCATTTCATTTTCCAGTCAGCGAAATAAACAAAATTAAAACCCAGTAAATAATCATTTTACAGTATTTTGCTAACATCAATTTTGACTCCTAAACTGTATATATCTGCATTCTCATGTTTGTCTTGTCGGTTGGCTTCTAGTATAGTGCATTTCTACCATAGCAGTTAGTTTTCAATGAAATTGTAGATGCATTGTTTTAATATCATAAGAAAAAATTGAACATTTCACTCGCATTATTAAGATAAAAATTTACTTGTCACTGGTAGCATAGTGGTTGTCGCATCAGACTCATGATCGGTAGACCCAAGTTCAAATCCTACCTTAGGCTGAACATCTACCCTAGGTGAGTGTGCCACAGACTCAATGGCAAGGCCAATTCGACTGGCTGAGATTCATTCACTAACGAATGCGACTTTGGGGGATCCTTGATTAAGGTCCGCAGGTGCTTATGTTCGACTGAGCCTGGTTGATACCAGGATAGTGCATTAAATTGCCATTTGATAGTGAGATGGCCACACAGCCCTGTCATGTAGTCCCAAACATGAATATAACTTCTGTGGCAAATGCACTATGTGTCAGCACTAGCACTTGCAATTTGCACATACAAAAAAAAAGTCAGGAGAGACAACAGTGACATTTAATGTCTGGAACTGTCGCCTGATGAAAATTTATTGTGACTTTTGTGAAATATCATCACCACGAACAGCATCAAAACGGCACATAGCGTAATTTATATGATACTTTCCATATATTATTACAATTTGTATATTATTATTTAGACATTATTCAATGGTGTTGTAAAGGCATTTGAAAATGGTGGGAAAGTTGAGAGAATTGCAACAACACTAGGTTACACTAAAGATCAAGTCGAGGCAATACAGAGGTTGAAAAATAGTAAAGACAATTACGAAAGGCTTGGACTAATGCCAGGTGCATCAAAGTAAGTTGGTGTTCAAATTATTTACTCTTACTACTAGTAGCACATGTTTATGTAAATAAGGTGATTTGGAATTCGGATATTTGCTATATTAGTAGTAGCACATATGTTTAATATGTAAAATGAGGTGTGTTGGTATTTTCTCCCTTGTTTAATGTCCATCTTGAGCATAACTTGAATGTCACGACATTATTTTTTGGCATATTTTCATACATTCTACAAAGTTCATTCAGAATGACACTGTCAAGATATTCTTGCTAAACCTGTCGTTATTGATTTGTATCCTATAAATCACACTCTTCAGAAAAGTATTACTTTCCCTACCTCATTTATTTGTTTTTGCGACACCAAAAGATTGTAAAAAGTGCTGAAACATCATTCATAGCAATCTTGGTGGGCAGTGTTTCAGATATTTATGGTAGTGTATGTATTTCTTTTTTTACTAGCAGTCTACTGTAATTTACTATGCCTGTGGAAGTCATCTAAAATAAAAATGAATATTATAGTAATATATAACATTATCTATTTCAGGGATGACATCAATAAAGCTTACAGGAAGCTGGCTGTACTCTTACATCCTGACAAGAATGTGGCTCCAGGAAGTGAAGAAGCATTTAAAATTCTTGTTAGTGCTAGAACGGAACTACTAAAACAGAGATAGAAGTGTGTTCTCGTAGTGTGTGATGGCGCTGACATCAACACATCCGCTCCTACGATGCTGCATGAACTATTAAGAATGCTGCATACAAATGTTGACTTATTGTTTTACAAGTTATTAATGTCACTGATGAACTACATAAATAGGGATTCAGTGTTTAACTTAAGGCGGTGGAATCGTCACCTGCGCATGCGTCAGATAGACGTGTACATGTGACATAGCAACTGTGTACGTCACTTATACAAAATAAATCGCTTACTGAGTGGATGATGTTGAGCTAACTCATACATATTTATAAAACATTTATAATATCTCCAGGTTTCTGCCGTTCACTGTAATAACAGCATGGTAACAGCAGTTGATATCTAATTAATATAGATTTTTTTTTTATTTGGACTTGTGCTGGAATCAGGAGTTTAATTTAATTTGATCATTGTATTGAGTATTACGATTTGTGCTGTGGTAGCTGACCTACCGTGATTCACAAGTCATTTTTATGTTGAAAAACAATTTGTATGATTTCTGTGAGAGCATGAAATACACAAATACAAGGTCCTTTTACCAATCTGACCAATTGCAAGTTTATAATATATAACAAGTAATCTGTTATATGTAAGATAGTCTTTGATTGGTCCAAGCAAATGTCAGGTTGTCTCTGATTGGTGTAAACTGATATACATGTACTTGATTCATTCAAATATGATGCAATTTTGAGTAGTTATACTTTGGAATCATATTAATGGTATGTTCTGAAATTGTAATTCAATGTTATTATTCAAATTTATTTATTTATACATATTTTTGATATAATTACGTTGAATGATGATTCTTTCCAGTCTTTCAACACCATTGTAGACTTTTTTTTTTAGGAAAGATGAGACTAATTATTTTCATGTTTGGATGAATGTATGTTTTTAAATAAAATGTTGAAACCTTTAAAAGCATTGTTTATGATCAATTCTCTTGTGTCAAATATTGAAAATGTTAGTCATCAGTGTATGAGTTGTGAATTTAAACTTAGCTGTGGCAGTGTTCTTGCATTTTAGCAAATTTATCACTGAGAGATTTTGTTGTTTTCTTCAGAAAAGTCAAGTATATATTGCATGTAGGAATAGGAATGATTGTAATCGGTCTATAGTGACAAACAATTATAAAGAAATACTTCCACAAGATGATGCTCATGATCTTGTAATACCTAAAAACATGAGCCTGCCCTCTACAGTTTTGATTGCACAAATCTTTTTTCTAGTACCGGTATAATTCAAAAACAAAAATTAGCCGAGCAACTGCTTTAGCAATTATTTTTAGTTCATATTGTTTTACTGTTTGAATAGCTTGTTTCATGCCCTTGCCTCATTGTGCAAATTAATATTGTTTTCTTTATTCCTTACTCTTATATGAATCACCTATTTGTTAGAGCGCCCTCTAGACACTGAATTGCACAAGTTGGTGATACACGTTGTAGTTATTTGGATTGGTCGTTAAGAAAGCGGGAGGGGGGGGGATTTGTCAGAAGACTATTGCACACACACACATACATACATACAAAAAAAAAACAATATTCATATATCACACACTTTGTTCACAGTAAAGCCAACAAAAAAATTACATAACACCCTGGAACTAAATTTTCCCTCAAAGATGTGTGTGCAGCAAGATGATATATTGTTGTACCTTCTTCCAAACCAGTGTTTCTAATTGTCAATTGCTTGGAATGAATTTAAGTCAATTAATTTGATTTTTGTAAATATATATGTAACAAATAAATAAATTCTTAATAATTAAATAACTTAATTAAATAAATAAATAACTTGCATTTTGTTAATTTACTCAATATATCTTTAAACAGCTGCTTTGTACTGAGGCCCTGTAACATACAACTTACATAGCGCCAAAAATTGTATATACAATAAAATAAGAAACATTAGATATAGTCAGATATATTTAGAGTTAAAAAAAAAAAATAGAAGGCAATATATATTTTAAAATGTTTAGAGTTTTGTACATGGAAATTCAATTAACATGAGCATATATTCTAAGTGTGTTAATTTAATTTGAATTATTAATATTAATAAATTTATTATGTCTGTGTTGATATTTGCACAACAATAACTATAAAAAAAAAAGATGTTTTTGTGGGAATCTTTTAGCTGAATAACGCTATCCTGGTTATAACTGAATTAATTATTCCAATTATTATTTTAAGATTAGGTCAAAATAAATAAGATAATCTACGATTTTCTTATTCAAAGAAACATTGTTTTATTGAGGGGATTAATACTGTCTATGACTGAACTGAAATGTATGGTACTCTAAACGTACTAGATGACGCCCTCAACGGTGTATTAATGTCTGCAATCGTAAAAGTATTATTTAGATTTGTAGTATCGTTTTCAGTCGTTGAAGACAATCACGATTAAATGCAAGAAATTATTTCCTTCTTGTCATACCATGTATCAATAAACATAATTTTTTAATTCAATAAAAACTTAAGAGTAATTTTTAGGTGACAATCTATCGATTCTACTGGCGAAAACGTAATCCTAATATTGTGCTATGAACACCAGATTGCTTGACTGGCTAATCGTACATGGTAGGTCGAAGTTTGTTTGGGTCGCGTTTGACGAAATAGAGAAGACAAACCCTGGTTGTTTAAAGCATTAATCGTAATCTCGTGATATTTATAGAAATAAGCATGCAACGTGGACTGTGTTAGGGATATTTCATCACAACTGAACCTAAACAAGCCGATAAAACCAAAGTCCGGATACTGTTTTGGAAAATATGTGAATCTATTCGCAGTTGGCATTGGTTGACAACTTTATTTTGACGGACGGACGGTCGGTCAGGACTTTTTATTTTGAAACGTTGTACATTCAACTGTGTGTTCTCCATACTGTGCTCCAATCTACGATAGTTGCAGGTCAGATTATAATATCACTCGGACATCATTGCCTGTGTAACACAGAGAAGTAAGAAACATGGCCACAACAAGCAACATCAACCGAACTCTATTCTGTCAGTTTTTTACGCTTCCTTCATCGCTTCATCTTTGTAGGCAGTTCCTTATGCTTCTGATTCTTTTATATTTACCAGCGGGTGAGTATTTTGAAGAAAAATTTCCCCTGAATAGTAACGGCGCAGCTTTAGTCTGTAAGTGAATATATAATCACCAGTTTCATAGGCCACTCTAAATAGCGCGAACAATAGAGCTCAATGGCGTGAAATATTCTGATCAATAACAACGTAAATACATAATTTAAGACGTAATTCATTACGTCCATTGCAACTGCTGACGTGTCTGTTATTTGACACCTCGTATTTTAAGAAGCTGAAGGGATCAAGTACTGGTCTTTCCAAAAATAAATGGTGATTGTGCGCATTTGAATTTCTCTTTTAAAGCATGTGCCATATTGTTGTTATGCATTCAATGATCATGTACTTGATAATATGTTGTAGATAAGTCATGTGTTATTTTATTTAGTATAATTTCCAAATTATGTTGAGGTTGTTAGATTTGATAATGATAAGTGTACATGTTGTTGCTAACATGACTGTGATCTAAGTATTTGTCACCATGGATCCTTGTACACTGTAGTACTCCATACACCTTAGCACAGTGATCCACCATATGATATACAGGAACTGTTACAAATATTTCAGGCAATAATAATTTGTTTCATCTATATCTTTAAATTGGTCCAAATAACCAATAGTTGCGTTTGTTTGATAATGCATCTTGCCATTGAAGCTTGATACAATAATGTTCATTGATAGATATTAGTAGTTTATCATTTCAAATGATGAGTCATTCATATTTGTATTCTGTCATTGTTCTAACAGCAAGGATATGATGCCATATTTTTTGTTGTATAATTATTGAAAATATATTTACTGTGTGGCCTGAATTATTTTGTCCACATGCTATAAATTAACCATATTGATTTTGTCCGCTAATCAGATGCAACAACTGATATTGTTTTATATTTTATTCCTCCATTGATTCATCACTATGTTCACTGCGCAATAGCCTGTACAAACAACAAACTCCTATTTTATATTCCTCGTTTAGCACTTACTGAGTTTGTCATTCACTATATTAAACTTAATGTGGTCATAATTACATACCTCATTTAAAAATTGAGTAAAAAACTATTCAGAACTCTAAATCACTTGTAAATACAATGCAGTATCACTTTGATTTTTATGGTTTTTTTCATTTTAATAACATAACTACATAAGTACTGCTATAAATAATAAAATCTTGGATCACATTTTGTTTTTTTTTACTTGGACTCAATCATATGAACTTATTTTGTGTATTTCTGCAATCAAAAAACGTTATGTGTGGACATACATGTACATTGCTATAAATTAACTATACCCTAAAGTCAATACAGACTACAAACTCTTGTCTGAAGACTACCACAGACTCGATAGACCCATAAACTACCGAATATTTTCTTTTGACTACAAACTTCCCAATCTGGTTGCCCAGCCAGGCTTTCAACAACAAAAAATTCGTATTCTCTCGTATGGAATTTTAAAGTATGCAAAACATGCATGTTTGCCATATAGTACATGTATGTTTACCTACAAAATATGTTGTGATTAAAAATAGTACAAGTACATATACAACTGTACTCCGCTGTAGGGCAATCAAATGTAGTATTCTTAAAATGCATAATATTATTTGAAACATACATTATTTTGAAATGCATAATATTGTTTGGAATATTTTTTTTTATTAAAATACAGTATAAGGTTCTTGAGAAAATTACATAAAATGTTCTGTCGGGACATGCATGTGTAAACTATTGTAAACATTTTTCACTATATATGAATATAGTGGTCACATTTACAAAATCTTACTTGGGACAAATATATCAATCAGACTGAAATTTACATGTGTATGTAGGGCTTTCACTGTTTTATCCCACCAGTGTACCAGGTTAAATACAGTGATAGGGGCCTTTATTGCTATTCATGGCTACGCAGGTTTCCAAGCCATAACCAGTCATCACAGACATGTAGGAGCAAAAACAACCTGTTGATGAATCATGTAAAAAAAAAAAAAAAAAATCCCTATAATTTATAATAGATGCCTGCAAGAAATAAAGATACTAACATGTTCTAAATGTTTGAAAGTCACTGGATTGATCCATAAATGTAGTTACCATTTAGGATATACGAAAAAGGATATTGAGCCTCAGTACAAGTACTCCTACCTCTTTCCCAAATTGAAATCGGCAACATATTGGAGGCTTTAGCAAAAACACATGTTCCGTTCTCTTCTCATTGTATTAATTCCGATGTGTCAGTAAATGTGGCGAACAAAATTTCAGCATGAGTTGATTCTCAGGCTAAACCTGCACAGAGATAAACACGTTCTGTACCTGTATCCAATAGAGGTTTTCTCTTTCAACATTCATTGATATCAATAAATGTGTTCAGTGTTTCATGTCTAATGTATGTACATTACAGCTCTCAAATCTATGTGGGTCATTATTAGGGGTCTTGTGTCGACACAGTTCACATCTCTGGTAAAGCGTTTCATGGCAAGACTGAATAAATATTCATGTTTCTGGTC